TTGAGTCTTCTCAACAAACAAACAAAAAGAGCTAGTCATGTGGTTCATCGGCATCATAGCTGGGTAGGACTGTTGGTTGTTTCTCTCCTTTAGAAGCTTGCATGGTACCTTCTGTTACCATGGGAGCTAGGAAGAGGCATGCAAGTCAACCAAACCCACCTGAGGTACCATGTGACATGATGTTTCACTCTCTCCCCAACACGTTGCTCATATGCAAGTCAGAAGAGAGAGTCTCATCGTACTTGCTTGATTTCAGCTTGCTATGATGTTCTGTGTCGGACCCCTACTGCTGTTCCCACAGGATCAGGGGATTCCAGAAAGAGGGCATTGACCATTTCGACTCCTGTTGTTTGATGAGCCTCTTTGTTAATGATGGAAATCTGCTACATTGCATTTCTCAAGGTCCAGGGCAGGACTGGTACCCAGCATGGGGAAGAACAGTCCCTGAGGAGGACAGGCCTCTGACAAGCAGAGGGGTAGCTGCTGACAGAGAGTCAGCTGGGACTTAAAGGGACCCACATCCAATGAAGGGAAGCCCTGAGCAGTAAGCTATGATCCAGGAAGCATGCTTCTGGAAAGCCCTCTGGGATGGGCAAGAGAAGACAGCCAAGGAGGAAGCCAAAAGTTCTCAAAAAAGGATCCAAAACATTGTGTCACTTATGAAATTTCCCAAGATTAACACCCAAGACTTTTTCTAATAATAGTCATTTTTCAAAAAGCTCTGAAGTTGAGTGAAGGCCAGTTTTCCTTTTGCCTTCTTTCTCAGTTTCTACAGTGTCGCAACCATGTCTCCTTGCTCAAGTTTTCCCCGGGGCAGTGAAAATAGGCTCCTTCCCACTGAGTATTTGCCAGTGAGAGCTGTCAGGGCAAAAGCTGGTAAAGATGACTCAGCTATCCACCAGATCCTCATCTCTTCTTTCCTCTACACTAACACTAAACTCAGAAGTAAATGAGGACTCTGATGTCTCAGGACTATTTATTATCATTGTGGTGCCCTATTATTAAAGCAGGAATCAATTTGCACATGAAAAACAACAGCAACAACAAACACACAAACAAAACAAAAGAGAAAACCACACGACCCAGGCCCTGACCATCTGGCTGGCAATCATTCTAATGAGTTTGTGTGTTGCAGCCCTGCTCCTCCCACCTTGGGTTCCCAGGGTAGTCACAAGGTCCTCTCTCTTCGGCTTTTAGACCAGTGAGCTTGCATTTACAGAAAATGCCGCCTAAAATTTAACTCCACTGCTGCGGATGAGGGAAGAGAAACCCTTGTTGTTAATAATGTGTATTTTTGGCAAACACCTGATACCAGGAAATGGGAATTTATAAAATTAAAGGGTCATGCCTGTTTGCAATGATGTTTGAGGAAGAGCAGGTGAAGGAAGAGTAAGGGATTCTTGAAACAGAGACTGTAGTTTTCTTTTTGCTTGATGTCTTGGAACAAAATCAGCCCCAATAAACACAGGCCACCAGGGTGACTGAAAGGGCTCAGAGGGGATAGGAAGATGAACAGGACTAACTAGGTAGGAGCGTACCTACAGTAACTAGAGAAACACCTCCTGATAATGGCGAGTCCCCCAGAGAAAGTGTAGACCATTAAAACGCCCCTTCCCACTTCTAATCTACATTGACTCCTCTAAGTATGGATTGTGCTGTAGTTCTGATGATCGCAGTGCACTGTTAGCATTTGGAACAGACCTTGGAGAGATTAGTGATCTTATATTGGCTTACTGTTCCTATTGTAACAAATAACCACAACAATTCTGACTCTTAAAATTTTGGTCTAAGTTCTTGGTTGATCTTCCTTCCCCTAAGCACAGAAGAACTGTAATACATGTAAGCCCTGACCTAAGAGTACATTATACTTTCAAATTCTTTATGTGACTATTTGGGTAGGTAGTTTTTGCTGGTTCTGAAAAAAAAATCACTGTATATTTTGCACTTTTGCTACTAATTTTACATAACTAGATGATGTCTTTAGTAATGGTGCATGGATATTATTTTGTGTTCTATAATATTTATCCTTGTTCTTTTTTCTTTACAGATTCCATGGAAATCAAAGGAATACACTGCCATCTTGCATTTGGAATGAAAGGTATAACCGTAATCACTGAGGTGATGTAATACCATGAATCCAGTGAGCTGTATTTTAGACCAGGATGGTTTCAAGTACATAGCAACTGGTCAACAAACACTTAATATGCCTGTCTCGTGGATTCTGTCCTTGAAGAATCCACAGTTTACTAGGAGAAAGAGGTCATGCAGACAAGAGATTATTAACAACCTGTGGGAGCAAGACCCTTAGTAGGAAATTAAATAATGTGGATTCCAATCTTATTAGTAGATGACATTCAGACTGTAACATTCAAGCAAAGACATTTCCTTGAGAACTGGCCATAAATGTGACTTGCTTAAAGATCATATTCAGAGCAGAGGAAGTTAAGAATTATGAAATAATGACACCAAATTTATATTTCAAAAAACTTTAAATTTGTTTACATATTTTTTTCTTGATGTAACCAAGAAATTTCACAATATTAATTAACAGGAAATAATGTACAGAATGTTAAAATGGATATTTAATTTTTTTTTTTTTGGTTTGGTTTTTCAAGACAGGGTTTCTCTGTGTACCTTTGGCTATCCTGGAACTCACTCTGTAGACCAGGCTGGCCTTGAAATCAGAGATCCACCTGCCTCTGTCTCCCTGAATGCTGGGATTAAAAGCATGTGCCACCACCACAGGGTTTAATTCTTTTTTTTTTTTTTTTTTTGGTTTTTCGAGACAGGGTTAAAGCAACTAAAATGTGTGTTGAGATTTTTGTTTATATGATGCCAGTTATTGAGTTTGCTTTAAGGGATATGAGGCCATAGGCCATAGGAAAATCAATAATTCTTGTTCTTGATTAGTAAAGATGATGCGCAGATCCACAACAGTTGTTACAAAAGCAGCATATGATTAAATATGAAAAGCGCAGGTACCCATGGTGAGAAGAGAATTACATAAGGACACGGCCACTGAAAAGTTCAAGGAGATATAGATTATCAGCAACCCTTTCTTTCTCTCTTTCTTTCTCTCTTTCTTTCTCTCTTTCCTTCCTTCCTTCTTTCCTTCCTTCCTTCCTTCCTTCCTTCCTTCCTTCCTTCCCCTTCTCTTCCATCCCTCCTTCTTTCCTTTTCTCTTTTGAATTTTACGTATACGAGCGTTTTGCCTGCATGCATGTATGTGCACCATATTCGTGCCCAGGTACGGCAGATGAAATCCCCTGGAGCTGGACTTACAGAAAGTTGTGAGCCTACATATGGGTGCTAGGAACTAAACCTATGTCTTCTGAAAGAACAACAGTTATCTTAACCATTGAACCATCTCTCCGGCCCCGCAAAATGCTTCTTAATGACTGCCAGATAGTGTCACTTTAAGGAAAATTCTTCCTTAAATGTGTATTATGATCGTGGACTCCTTTGAGGGAATGGCCGGGGCCTCTGTCTCTCAAGTGCTGGGATTAAGGGTTTGTGCCACCACTGCCTGGTGACCTGCAGCTTTTATGCATGCGGAATCACAAACTTACAAAACTACCCACTGTCTAAGGAAAACTGGCACAAGTGGGTGTGAATGTAGAGATGTTCTCAGAAGCACGAGGGCAGAGTTTTGCAGACTTGTTTGCTGTTTCTAGAAAGGGCTTGGGGGTTGGAGATCTAGCTCAGTGGTAGAGCATGGGCAAGGCTGGGGGTTGAATCCCCAGAACTGCAAGAAGACAGAGGCAGAAGCACAATACTGTGAACAAGTTGAGTACCTGCCTCAGCAACTTCGCCATCATCACCCCTGTATGGTTTTGCCTGTTCCACTCTTCCATGTGCATGTGTGTTTATACTAATTTTACATGTTTCTATATCAAAAATTAGACTGGGATTTGAGCTGTGCATCTTTACTGTTTCTCTTGATACTTTCAGCCTTTGCTGAAATAAGGCTGCGAATTCTCACTTTGCTTGTGATCTGTACGAATGTTTGCTGCTGTAAATGTAAGAGCTCATGAAACGAACTAGACTATACGTTCTTCCAGGGACACGACTGTGGTTTCTGTTTGTTTCCATTTAGGTTAAATAACCAAGAAATGTTGCCAAATAACAGAGACTCAGCTGTGAACACAAGAGCACACACTGGAACTGGCTTATGAAGCGCAAGCCAGCTGGCCGCTTTAGGAAAAGTCTTAGGGAAAAAAATAGCCCTTCCTCATCTAAGTCAGAAATGGAAAATTGAATCTCCAGGCTTAACTGGCTTCTTTTTTATCTCGTTTGTTTGTTTGCTTGTCTGAGGTATACTTTGCTGAATAATTGTGACGTCGAGAGAGTAAAACCAAGTGCGGCTTTCGATAAAGCAATGCTGCAACCCTCTCACCCACTAAGGAAGAACCTATAGATGAAACATTCTGTATGCAGGCCATGTCAGGTGACAGGAGGCAACAGGAACCCCATGCCTGATTGCCATATGTTCTTGAGTTTGTTTTTTTTTGTGTGTATAAATATATATTATCTACACACATGTATATATATGCATATAATCAGTGTTTATTCCCACATCTTGTGTGCTCCCAGATTCCTTCATTTTCTGTGTTTCAGAAATACTTTATGTCCTACCCACCGAATGCACACAGAAGATTCCAATGGCATAAACAGAGGCCCAGTGAGTACAAATATTTAAAAAGTAAGAAAATAATACATTCTCAAATTTCATCTTATTTTGGAAGTATAAACAGCTTTCCTGCTGCCCCAGGAACCAAGAAGCTCTGTTTGTTTAGCATTTGTGACTTGGATTGAATCATTTATTAGACAAACAAGATGAGTGGCTTATCTTTATTCCTCTCTGTTGCCAACTGTGATACCGCTGGAGAGACAAAACAGCATTTTTAAGCAGGTGTCAGCATTGTCATCTCAGAGTGGCATGCATTTGGTAGCAACAGTCGGGTGTCTTATTATGAACTGCTTTACGGGGCTTCCATTACAGCTAGTCCGCAGTGGCTTCAAGATGAAATCCCACCGAGAGGCAGCCCTGAGCATGCAGATGGAAGCTGAATGTGAGAGGGATGGTCCAGTCTTCATCATATGAAACAGGGCTCGACTGTGAAAAGGTGCAAATATTACTGAACAAAACGATGGTTCACTTCGGATAAGCATTCAATAAGGTGAGCTATCCAAAAGATTTTCCCTTTGATAAACGCATCCATTTTAAAAGCGTAGCAGATTTGAATTTATGGTCTCTAGTCTCTGGGGCCAGGAAATCTGAAAGAATTTCCCAATAAGTTGCCTAGAAAAATTACTAAATTGTATCATGCTGTTCCTTTTGGTAAGATGTGCGATGCTACTAGCTGGTTAATCTCTTTACTTCTAAAGATGATTTGCAGAACCTGGGTATTTGATATGCTGGAAAATTGCTGTTATTTGGCCTCATACAAAATGGAGTTTCCCATGGTAAGTTTGAAGGTATCTTCCATGTTATACTTTTACGGTATGATGTCTGGGAGTCTTTCATTCAAACTTCATCTCATAGGGTCATATATGAGGGAACCTTAAAAATAACCTTTTCATAGGACTTAAATAGAACCTCACTTATCCCATAGTCTACCTGGTGTTTGGACTATAGTGATTTTGAAGTGTGTATCTGTGCATAGAGTTGACACAAATAAAGTTTCCTAAATCAGGAAATAAGTATTTGACCTTTGGTCTTGTTACTGTCTTGGTAAGTTTGGCAAATGGATATTATCTTTCAATAGCAAGAATTGCTAACTAGATGTTTAATGGCAATCAATATCTTACATGAACTCTAAAATTAATGCCTGGCAGAGAGGATGGTTAAAAGAGCAATATACTTTCAACGAATGAAGTTTGTGACTCCGGAATGTAACTGCAGTATTAAGGCATCTTTCCTGACTTGTCATGTTTTTTAGTTTCTTTTTGAGACAGGGTCTATGACAGCCTATTGAATAACTGGACTTGTTACAAGTATGTCCACCATCACTCCTGGCTAGATTTTTCTTTTGACTGCAGTAGGTGTCTGTTCTGCTTTCCTGGAGAATTTTCCAGAAAGCATTTTTACAAGGAACACTTTTTAAAAGAGTTTAGAAGGTGCAGAATTCGCGGTTGCCAACGGGAGAAAGCAGCACAGGGGCTTTCTACCATCTACTGCTGAACACCATCTACTGATGAACAGATAAAGCCAATGTGGGAAATTGATAGGACAGAATACACCATCACTGTATTGAAATTCTTCTTCCATAAAACTTAAAGACATTATGCAAAGTGAAATGACAATTACAAGAAACCAATGTCGCATGATTCAGCCTTTGTGAAGTGGCCGGAAGGGTCACGTTCACATCGATACAATGGGGAATGCTGGCTTCCGGGGATAGGAGAAATGGGAAATGAGAAGTTAAGGTCTAGTGGACACAGAGTTTCCGCTGAGAGATGAAAATGTTCTCGAGGTGGATTAAGGTACTGGCTGCACAGCAACGTGAATGGATGTAAAGCCACAAAATATCTGCTGCTTAAAACTGGTTAAAACGGCAAATTATGTGTTACATATATTTTACCACAATTTAGAAAAATGAAAGGACAAAGTTTAAACTTATTTCAATTATAGCTTCATGCTTGGCCTTTTTCTTAATTTCAGACAGGGTAAGCTCAGCTTTCCTAAATTCTAAGTTTTCACTCCTCTCATGTTTACTAGCATGTGCATGGAAGCTTTCTGTTTGTTTTAGCTTGGGTATCTTTCTTGGCAGGCCCTTCATGTTAGGATACACCATTGTGCCTTTGAATTCAGAACTAGCAGAGTTAATTAACTTTGAATTTATTTTATAATTTCAAGTGTTAAATGTAAATTTAAAAGAGCGGTATTCCATCTTTGAAAATTGCCTTTTGGAAACATGTATACATCCCCATTTACATTAAAGATAGGAACATTCCATGGCCTTTTGTATTTTGGATATATTTAGAGGTTCATGTTTAGGTAGTAAGTTGAAGATACTTATAAAACAATTTCTTCCTTGCTACAGCCAATCTCTCTAACTGTCCACCATTTTTCCTATTAATGTTTAACTGTTTCTCTGTCACTTTTCTGTAGTGCCTTAAAAGTCTTATTTTCCCTATTTATTTTTGTCATAATAATTTTCAAGATTACCTTTCTGTGTCAAAATTTCAAGGTGATGATACCAGTGTGGGGATAATTGTACTTGTAGGGCCCTGGTCTCCCTTATTCCTGGGGTGCATTGGCGGGGACAGTTTATAATCGGTTAACTAAGCTTCCTGTGTGTTTCCGTGCTATCCCTGCCCTGCCTGGCGGTTAGCTGCAGAGAATCTTCTTCATTGTTAATATGGTAATTTCCCACCTGCCTGGGCGAGAGATCTTTGAGCTGCAGTTAGGTAGATAAGGGCTTCCCCAAGTCTGAATAAACGGCATTCGCTTGACCTCCTATCGAATGACCCTGGTCTCTGTCTCTTTTGTTTAATCTCCAGGTCCTTGCCCAGACTCATGTTCGGTGCAGTTGCGCGTGAACTGTACCGAGGGTGTAACACCAAAACCGGGTGTTACATGTACTGTTGTTTCTGAAATTTACAATAACCTATCAGGTAATGAAGCTTCTCAACCAAACACTTGTGTGACATTTATCTCAGGCATTTACACCTACAATGATGCTAAAAGGCAGGTGAGTGCCCAGGATTGAACGTATCCAGGCATATTATTGATGGACTCTAAAATTCCTTAGCATGAGCCTTTTAATGTTAATACTTACTAACATTCAGTTGAAAATGTCAGGATTGTCTTTAATTTTAGAGATAAATCAATTTAGGATAAAACAATTGCTGCTCAGGATACTTAATAAATTGTGATCCTGCCTTGAGTTTAGAGGTGGAAACTTTCAAGGTGCAGGCAGAAATGCACACGGCAGCTTGCGGACAGTTCATAAGGGAAAGCTCCGTAAGTCGTGAATAGCAGCAGAGCCAGGTTCACCAAAATCTATTTCAAAACGGAGAGTTTGACATATTCCTCAGAGGCCATCATCTCGGTGAGACAAATTCCGTGGTGGAGAGTTCGTGTCTGTCGTCCAGAGGGTCAGTGTTTCCTCTCAAGTCTTGTGACTGTCCTTCCATTCAATACGGGTGGAGGACAAATGTTTTTTTCAAACGACAAGAGTATCCATTCTGTAGTTACTGCTCACGAAAGCTAAGCACCCTGGGGCTAGGGGACAAGAACAACAAAAGCACTTCAATCGAAGAACTCAAAACCTTTGTTTTCACAGCCTCGTTGCCAATTGTATTAGACCTGACCTTATAAGTGGATGTTTGTAACTTTCACTAAAAATACTAGCATGTGTCTTCAGGTGTCAGTGCAAATCCTTCCAGGTGTGTCAGATGCTTCTGAATTCCCAAATACCCTTGGCTATAAGATCTGTAGGACGGTGCTACTGTAAATCCCAATACTGCTGCAACTAAGTAATGATAGTATCTCCTGAAATACGTGTTATCTGGGGACTGTGGAGATGACTCTTCAGCTAAGAACATTTACTGCTCTTCCATAGGACTCAGTCTCTATTTCCAGCACCCATGTCAGGAGGCTCACGACAGCCTATAACTCCAACAGGGGATTCAACAGTTTTGTTTTTCTGGACTCATGGGCAACTCTCCTCTCATGCACACACCCGCACACACTTGCACACAGACAAACATATAAAAAAAATTAAAAATGCTGAAAATAAAAAAAAATAAATTTGTAATTTGCAGATTATACACCAAGCCCTGTGCTAGGTGCTAGATAGCAGCAGCCAATGCCTAGTGTTGGTTCTATAAATACAAATCAAGTTAATGATATAAATAGAAAAGAAGCCGGGCGGTGGTGGCGCACGCTTTTAATCCCAGCACTCGGGAGGCAGAGGCAGGCGGATCTTTGTGAGTTCGAGACCAGCCTGGTCTACAGAGCTAGTGCCAGGACAGGCTCCAAAGCCACAGAGAAACCCTGTCTCGAAAAAACAAAAACAAAAAAAAAAAATAAAAAGAAAAGAACAAGGTATAGGAAAGAATAAGGAAGGAATTAGGTTTGGTTATCAAATCCTAATGATTGTTAAATGGGGGCCCTCAGAGATCCTACGAGTTTGCAAGTGAAGAAGAAGCTATTCATGTAGGGGACTAGGTGTGCAGAGGTTGGGGATGGGGACCATTTCAGTAAATGCAGAGGATGGGAGGAGACTCTGGTCGTTTGAATGAGAATGGACCCAAAAGGCTCATCTATTTGAATGCTTAGTCCCCAGTTGATGAACTTTTTGGAAAGATTCGGAGTAAGTCCTTGTTGGAGTAGGTGTACCTTTGTTGCAGGAGGTGTGTCACTGGGAGGGGGCTTTGCCTCTGCCTGCTGCCTATGGATGAGGATGTGACTCACAGCTACTACTCCAGGGTCCACCTGCTTGACACTATGCCTGCCCGCCTGACACCATGCTCTCCACCATGATGACAGAGGACTAACCCTCTGAAACTGTAAGCCAACCCCCCATCTAAAGCTGCCTTTTCAAAGGGCTGTGCTGTTCACGATGTCTCTTCACAACCATAGAATAGTGACTAAGACAAGAACCATGTGCTTGGTGCCTGGTAAGGATAAGAAACTAATTTTTTTATGTGGACAGAAGCTCAATATGTTGACTTGGATTTGGAAAAAGTTAAATTCTATTTTATTTGCTATGACCAAAATTATTTTTTAAATATTATATTCTTAGGCTATGGTTATATTCAAATAGCAAAATACAACAGGAGAAAGCTGATGGGAATTGGACTATTTTAGATGAGAGATGGTGGAAGCAGAGGTCATAGTCAAGGAAGTAGAGATGATTCAGAGGAGAAGGATTGGGAGAAAAAGCAGAACTTGGTACATTGGTCACGATACTTAAGGAAGAAATCTCCTCCTATTTCCTAGGACGATGAGGACTCCACTTATCAAGATGGAAAAGAATGGAAAATGAATGTGCTGGTTCAGGTGCACTGGGGAAAGGCAGGAACCTGATTTTCTGCACAAAAGGCTTATGATATCTGTAAGACATGCGTACAAACATGCCACATAAACATCTGCAACTGAGATACAAAAACGAGAGAACATTAATTTGGGAGTTGCCATATAAACAGATGCAAAAACAGACTAGAGATGGATGAAAATATTGAAAGACATTTAAAAGGCCGTGTGTGCAGGAACTGCAGCATTTACAAACCAACTGTACAAGGAAGAGTCCGCATTTCAGAGACAAAGCAGTGGCCATCCCAATGGGGAGGAGATGTGGCGAGCGTGGTGTGCGAGAGATCAAGAAAAAGGAATTCAAGTCACGAGTGCCAAAGAATGTGGGATACTGCAAAGACAGATGGTTCTGAATGTGCTTCTGGTTTCTGACAATGGGGAAGTGGTGGTGGCCCTGGAAGGAGCAGTGTCTGTAATTGGATTATGGTGGGCCAACCACTAACAGAGGGGCGCTCATTTTGGGAGCTTTGTTGTGGACGGGGATCAGAGAAACAGGGAAAGATGCAACGACGGGAGATTATTTTAAACATGAGCTCTGAGGCTACGTCTAAAGGTTGAAAGGAACAATGTGTGCCAAAGGAGATGCTGAAGATTCCTGGAGAGGCGGAATCCAGGCAGCCAACACGAATGCTTGTTCTGTAGCAGCGTGGTACAGACACGATGCACTTTAATCCACTTTAATCCTTGCACTACCACAGGGAGATAAGTATCACAGATCTAACACCTTGTTACATTTCAGATGGCTTAGGAAGCCCAGTCAGAATGGCCTCGGGCTCAATGTGTCTATTAGGGATACTGAAATACAAAAGCACAGGCGCAGATGTTTCTCTACTGCACCCCTCGGCTGCCGAATTTGTTCTTAGTGGGAAGTCATTGAAATCCTTTCTTGCTCTCTGTCCATCTTGACTCCTTCCTCTCGACAGCATTCCCCTCAGATCTGGCTTTAGGACACAAGGGTCCCTTTGTCTTCTGTGGAATCTCCTCTTTCTCGGGAAGCACCCCAAGGCCAGCAAGATCAAGTATCATGCTTCATAGCACATTTTGAGCTTGTGCCCTTGTTCACTATGATGATTGCGTACTGACTGCTAGATGCTGTGCTGTGCAGTAAGGAGCAGGCACGCCAAGTGAGTACTTATCTAACTTACTCCCAACATGGTCTGTGTAAGTGGAGGGTGTGTGCGTATGACTGACAATTGAAGCAATGGAGTTTTTTTTTTTAAGAATAATTTCAAATAATAGGGATTAGAGCATAAATAGTCAATACTTTATCAAATAACAAAATTTGCTTCTGGATATCAATCAGGGCAATGTGATAGAGAACTATTGAATAAGAGGTCATAAAGATCCTAGTATTATACTAAGAAAGTCCCTCCATTGAGGCTAACTATAGAAACAAGGAGTCTCTCTTGACTCAGAGGGCGGTCGAGGTGGTGCAGGAGATCATAGCTTTGTCTACCACTCTCCTCTCGTTCATAGATAAAGAAACAAAGGGCAGAGCCACCAACCAGCTCAAGGCTCTAAGGCTCATAGGATAACCCTGCTTCCAGTTAGTCTAATGACCTTAAACAGAAGCACTAAGTGTAGGCATCTGTTCATCTCTACAAGGTCTTGGACAAGAACTGGCTATCCAAGTGTTTAGCCAATTCATCACCCCAGGGACAAGTGAGAGAGGAAAGGAAGCTGGGAACCCTTTGCTGAGAACAGACAGTATCAAATCAAAACATTTACTGCCGCACCATCTTATAATTGTGAAATGTCATTTTCTTAGACAATGAGGTCTGAAAATTTTGCCAAAAGCCTTTCGGTCTTTCCTTTCTCTTCTAGGAAGGAATGTGCTTAACATTTTTTCCCAGAAAAACGGGTGTTCCCTTCAGAGAAATCAATTGCTCAATCTTCCTCAGTGGCAGCAAATTCCAGAGAATCAGAAAAAAAAAATTGAGGGCAAGAGTTACTTATTTTCATATCTGAACAAAATTGCTGCATAGAAACACAAAGTCTGGCATGGTGGGTGGTCTGTGCTGAGCTGCGGCAGGTCAGAGTTCCTGTGACTGTATGCAGAGATCAGGGGTATATCTCGAGGCTTTCCTGTGGGACACAGCCTGGAGAAGAACGGGAAAGTGGTCAGTCTGCCTTTTGCATCTCGTTTAGTGGGCTGGGCTACAAGCTTCTCATGCAAAATCAGAAAATCATTTGCTGTCTCACAAGAAGGCTGGGGGGATGGCATGATAAGGAAGCAGTCTGAGCAGGGCACATAGGAATAGTGGCAAAATCGGCACAATAGATGCACAGGGGATGGAGAATAAAATGGATGAGATACCGAGAAGGCCTGGAAAGTGGGGTCCAAGATGGCTGTTACTATTTCCATCCCATTCATGGTCAGAATCTTAGGGTACTTTGGAGTCTTTTAGGGGAGTCTCGAGGGATTTTTCTGATCCCTGCTGCCCATTTCCGTTCTCATCTCCTTCCCATGTTCCTTCTCCACTTCCTCATACTTTGTCCTCCTGTGTCCTTTAACTAATTGTCGTAATAAACCTCGGTGTTTTGTGGGTCTCTACGCACTCCCGACTACCTATGTGTTAGAGAAAGACCCTCCTTGTTGGTTTCCTGCACATAGCTTACATTTACAAGTTTAAAAAAAATTATCTATTTTTTTATTTTATATGCATTGGTATTTTGCCTGCATGTATTGTCTGAGAGAAGGAATCAGGTTCTCAGAACTGAAGCTACACACAGATGTGAGCTGCCATGTGGGTGCTGGGAATGAAACCCAGGTCCTCCAGAAGAGCAGTCAGTGCTCCTAACCACTGAACCATCTCTTCAGTCCCCGTATGTACTAACTTTTTATCTGAATAGTGTATTCACCATGTTGATGCTGCCTGAGTTAACGGCAGGGAGAACCCAGCAGCCACGTGCACCCACAGTACCAGAGCAGCCACGTGCACCCACAGTACCAGAGCAGCCACGTGCACCCACAGTACCAGAGCAGCCACGTGCACCCACAGTACCAGAGCAGCCACGTGCACCCACAGTACCAGAGCAGCCACGTGCACCCACAGTACCAGAGCAGCCACGTGCACCCACAGTACCAGGGAGCTTGACCCCTCTCTTTTCAGCTTAACTCCACCCATGAAGACCTTTAGAACAATGCCAGTTTCCTCAGTTGGGCAATTTGCCTGGCAGAGGCCAAAATTAGTTAGGAGTAACTTTCTTACTTTTGGTGGAAATTTTAGGTATATTCTTTTTTAAAAAGATAAAGAAAAATCTGGGTGGCTTTTGGGAAATTTAAGGAAGTTAAACATATCTTCAAATTTTCAAAATTTAACATTTGCATAGAAAAAGATCCCAAATTAAGTTCAATATTTGTATTGTAGTGTTAGCCTGGTTAGTTAAGTCTTCTGGGTAACCTACCTCCAAGTAGCAATTTAGGCTTCTAGAAGCTTTCTCTGGATCCTTAGGATTGAGTAAGTGCAGGTAGAAAAAATGAAGAGAGGAAGAACTATGGGAGGGAGGTGTTGAACCCAGAAGCCACATCAGGTCTCTTTACACGCCCGGCACCAGGCTATATCCCACAGGAAAATGGCAGTGACATGTCACTTAGCAATGTCCTCAAGTGAAAAGGAAAAATAGTTTGGAGAAAAGTAACTGGTTGTGGGCACAGATGTCATGAGTTAATCTGTCCTTTTATTCTGATTTTTTTTTTAAGACAGGCTCTTTTTATGTAGCCTTGGCTGTCATGAAACCATATGTAGACCAGTCTGGCACTTGTGAGTGCACACGTGCTTGTCTGTGTGTGTGTGTTCGCGTACGTGCGTGCTTGTCTCTGTGTGTGTGTGTTTGCGTGCTTGCGTGTGTGTGCGTGTGCGTGTGTATGAGAGAGTCCAACAGTCTGTGAGTGGAGGCCAGAGGACAGCTTGTGGAGTCAGTTTTCTCCTGCTACTATGTGGGCCTGGAGACTGAACTCAGGTCATCAGGCTTGGCAGCTCGTGACTTTACCTGCTTAGTTACCTTGCCAGCTCCCTTCTTTGATTTTACTAATCAAATGATCCTATGACATTAAGAAAAATCATGGTAGCTTTGAAGAGCATGTATAATGCCTTAGAAAATCCATGCAGCTGGGAAACTATTGTGTTTTGGTAAAATGAATTACAGAAATAAAGTCAAATAGCAAGGGACTGGATCTGCCTAGGTGTCCATCAGCAGGGGACCGGACAATGAAATGTGGCACCCACGTATACGTGATGGAATTTCATTCAGCCATAAACAAAATTGAAATATGCAGGCAAAAGGATGTAACTAGAAAATATTATGAATAAGATAGTGTAGGACAACTACCACGTGTTATTCCTCATATGCGAATCCTAGCTTCTAAATTTTATTAGCATGTGTTGATGTGGGAGTGAGTGTGGGCAGAGGCCAGGGAACTGGGAAGGAGCCATGAGAATGGAAAACCGGGCTGTGAGGGAAGGAGTGCGAAGAGTAATAGGATAAACGTGACATTTAAGGGGGGGGATATGGGGAGGAAGGGTGATGGAGAGCAGGGAGATGAGGGAAGACTGGGGAGGTCCAGAGAAACTGTGCAAGGGATGCCATAAAGAAACCTGTTACTTCCTATGCTAAGTGAAGAAGGACATTTTCGGAAACTATATTGACTTTTAAAATATACATAGCTGACAAGTGAAGTTAAGAATTTGCCATTTCCCCCACAGTGAAGCATGCACTGGTGTTGCATACTGAAGACAATTTCATTACACTGGGCCATTTTTGTGGAATTTTGGGTGTAGATTGAGGCTGTTGGTTCGCCCCTGGCTGCTCAGACCCGAAACAATCACACAGAAACTATATTATTTGCAATACTGTTTGGCCAATGTTTTAAGCATATTTCTAGCTGACTCTTATATCCTAAACTAACCCATCTCCATTAATCTGTGTATCACCGTGAGGTTGTGGCAAAATTTCCACGGACTCCAGAGGAGGTGCCTGTCTCCTGCTGAGGCTACATGGTTTCTCCCTGACTCTGCCTACTCTATCTCTCTCCATCTCTGTTCAGATTTCCTGCCTGGCTTTACCCTGTTAAGCTATTGGCCAAAGCAGCTGCTTCTTTATTAACCAATGGCAATAGAACATCTTCAGAGCATTTACAGAGGGAAACCCCACATCAGTTGGGTCCCTTCACACTTCCCTTACTTTGTATATTTTCATTTTATCTATTTAAAAGTGTAATAATGGAGAGAAAGAAAACAAAGTGGGAAGTAGTAGGGAAAGGAGCGTACGAAGGAAGGAGGGAGGATGGGGTACTGGACACAAGCACCCGACACTTATTTTTCCTGACTGGTGCTGTTATTTACTAGGTGATCACAATGAATTTTGAGGTCTCCCTCCCAACTCTGAGAAAAATCAACAGAACTTTATTTCTCTGTTTATTCTGACATCCAAGTTTATTTTTCACTTACATTTGTGCAAGCTCTGGGTTGCACCTCTGGATGGAACTGAGGCACGTTACAAGTGAGGGGTAACTGGGGAAATGTGTGGGGTGAGCCCCTTCCTTTCTGAGCACTGCAGCCTCGTTCAGGCAGTCACCCTTCAGGGAGTTCCAAATGAGCAATATAGTTCTGGGAAGTTTTCGGATGTGTGAGACACAGCTCCGCTTCAGAAGTGTGCAGTAATTATAAAACAGTCTAAAAGGTACAATTAGGAATGATAGAGGGGCGCTTCTCTTCCCTGGCAAGACCAGGCAAGCTTCAGAGGGAAATGTCTGCCATCTATTCAACTGCACGTTTTACCCGGGCATCAACAGATCTAAAACCTGCAGGCACTTCAGGATCTGGGCTTTCATCCTTGCATAAGTGCCTGTGCCGTTGCACGGGGCAGTCTGGGCTCTCTGCCTGCCGTAGAAGTAGGTCTATAAAACGCCTTTGCTATTCGGAGCATGTGGTCCACGAAGGTTCTCTTCAGGAACTGCAGGAGTTGTCTCTCACTGTAAGGAGAAGGGTTCCAATGAACCCTTCTACCCTTGCTGGTTGTACTGTTCCCATTCAAATCGCTATTATGGAAAGAATAGGAACAGCAAGTCCAAGGTCACAGAGACTCTCAGAGAGGAGGTTAGAGCAAAATGTGGTCAAAAGAGTTATGACAGAACATATTAACATTTGATCGTGTGGTTTGTTTCTCTCTGTACTCACATGAGAAGCAGTTTTCTAAAAATACAGTATGGGAAAATATGTTCAATAAATTAATTGCAGCTATGTTTTAGACAGACTGTTGGGGAAGTGGTCACAGAGCTAAGTTTCTCTCTCATTTCTTTTTCCTGCCAAAGAACTGGGACGAATCATTTTACTTTGAAGAACTAAGCTTTGGGTATTCCTCAAAGCATCTCAGAGACCGTTTCTTCGAGAATCCAGGCTGTCATCTGTGGAAGGACAGACACTGGCCATCAGAGTTCAGCATTGGACTTCTGTCCTTCTTCACATGCGTGCCTGGAGTCCCCGAGGGGTCTTCAGTTACTTTTAACATCTGCAAACTCAATGGTCACATGCCCACAATGAGTTCAGCAATAGCAGACGTCCAAAATGCTTCCTGGTGCACCACACAGCACACAGACGTTTCTATCTTAAAATGGCTAAGAGCAATATGTAAGCATTGAGCTAACAGAAAGTAACTCATGCTTCAGGATCTTAGCCTTCTTTACTAGCTTTAGAGCAGATATTTTCCCTAGCGTTTGGAATCAGTTCTTGATTGTTCATTATGTGTGTTTTCAGAGACCAGTGCTTCAATGCCTGTCACCATTTCTCTGCGTTTTCACAAGCATTTTTTGTGGCCTTGTGAGTCACTTCTTCCTCACCTCCCACAAATAGCGTGGGTTAAATAGAGCTGTGGGGATTTTTTTAAATAAAGAATCATTTTGACTTCATAATCTAAAAAAGCGTCACTTATATTGAACACACACATACACACACACACATACACACCACCACCACCACCACCACCACCACCACCACCACCACCACCACCACCACCCCCCCCCCCCCCCCCCCCCCCCCCCCCCCCCCCACCACCACCACCACCACACGAACAACCTACCAATGCAGCCACGGTGGAAGGTCCACTAAGGTCAGGTGGCAGTGATTTGTGTTTTGTTGTGGTGCGGTTGCCCAGCCGCCGTGATCTTTTGCTATTTCGTAGGCAGGTGAAATCACAGAGTGGATTGAGAGCCTGACCTCATTGCATCCTACGTGCTGAATCACGGTCCTCCAACTGTCATCAGATGGCACGGGCCGCAGTCTGCTCTCCTGGAAATGGAAGCGTGCACAGGCTCGTGTGACCCGTTTACTGCTGTTTCTCATTAAGGTTACATGAACGGGATCAGCAAAATGTCATTTTCTCTTCCTCTTTTGTATTGCTCAAGCAAATGCTTTTAAAATCGTGCCAGCAGCTTTCATTTTAAGGCTGTAATCGGAGCACTCGCCCCTCATCCTCAGTGTCGTGACTGACCTCTAGCGACTGCGATGAGTTACATCAACTTTCAAATGGATTATCTTTTTGTTTTCTCCCCAGGGTAAATCCTGTCTCAAATAGAAACCCGATTGCCTGAGAGTCATCCCAGAAGAATGTGATGCTTTGGGGTTTGCGAAGAGCAAGAGATGAATGATTTTAATCTCTATTTTGATTCAGTTTGTCTTGATTTGAAACCCACTAGATCTCAGCAGGAATTCCACCCAGATCCTTGATATTCTGTAGGATAGCCCCCACCACTCTGATTATAAGACAGGAGTCTTCTTTGTGAGCACCAGCTTTTCAGGATTTAAATAGGTATTTGTCCAGCCAACTTTTTTTTTCATTCAAAATGAAACAAAAGCTGAAATTGCATGTTGAATTGTGTCCAGATGCTCTCTTCTTTTGGGCCTGGCCAGCTGATGCGGTTACTCATTTCCTGACGTGTACTTGAGTCTAACTAGCAATCTACAATGAAGTCTACACCGGGTGGATGGGGGCGATTGCTTCCCAGACCTAGCAGATGGGGCGTGTTAAGAGTCAATCATTGCGTGTGCATCCCTGCGCACAACCACACATACAGTATGTCCAAACCGAGTGTGTTATTCCTGAGAGGCTTGGGACACAAGCTTTCCATTGTTCTCATTGGTAAAAACAAGGGCCATTTTGATGGCTACATTTTCCATCAACAATAATTTTTTAAAAAATCACTTTTAACAACTTGTTGAGAGGAATATCAATTCTAAATGCTCTGGTAGTTAATATATGATATCTGGTAAGTATCCAGTAAAGGTATTTTTGCCTAATTTTTCTGTCATACTTTGGTATGCAAAGTTGACAACTTCGTCTCAAAATTATAGGTCAGACAAACATCCAAATTTTCTATGAACAACTTTCAGCCTTCTCCTGCTTCCTTTGGACCAGTTTCTCTGGACCAGCAAAGGAGCTCAGTTTGAATAGTTGCAAAGCTGCAAGATTGAAAAGCTACACTGAATCTCTTGCTGCACTGTGAAATCAGTTCGCATTTGCAAGTCCCTGATTTTTCTCTGGAAAAGTTTCAGGGACGATTTGTGCACCCTTTGTCTGAAATGTGTCTGTGTGGCTAATTGCTCTTAGCAGATGCAAATAGAAGCAGTAGTCTCTGCAGCTTGAGGGTCCTCCTGCCAGCTACCAGTGGCCTCCCTTGCCAGCTTCTCGCAGCAGCTTTTCCAAGACCTCAGTCATCTTAGCCATTTCCCCTCTCACTCCTACACTCTAGTCAGCAGACGACCTTGGCTCTCTCCTACCAGAGAACACAGACTATTTACAAAACTCCCTGCTGTTCTCTCAGTTAACTGAAAATGCTTACCTTTACAGACTCTGCCTTATCTCTGCTCTCCAGGGGAGGGTGAAGGGTTGCCTCTTATTTTCCAAAAGGATCCCTCTGCTGCGTCTGTCTCCATCATTGTCTACATCCCGTTTCCTTCTCAGGTATCTTCAGACTTTTGCTGTTCGCTGTCTTAATCCCCTCAGGATATAAATATGACACCAGCTCTCCTGAAATACTGCTCTAGACTGTGAGAGGAGGAGAAACTGCCTCTTCCTGAATGCAGGGGCTACCGTGGGTCTGTAGATAGAAACTGCTGTGACAGAAATCTTTAATAAATTAAAAAAAAAGGATGGAAGCCGTGCTAATAGCTACTCAACAATGTTAGTGATGCCATTATTGTAGGCATTACTATTGTAAGATGGCCTAGCTTAAAGTTTTCATTAAACTTTATCACAAATTAAAAAAAAAAAAAAGAAACTGCTGTGAGTTTGGTCCCATGGTCTTGCCAGCCTGGTTTTACTGTATTGGAGTGTGTATAGGAGCTGCTGCTAAAGGCAGCAGGTGTAAAGGCAGCTCAGATGTGAGAGCCAAAACGACAGTAGTTCCGTTTGGGTTCCTCTTTGCAAGCAATAGAAAACGAATCCATTTAATTTAACCTCAATAGGAAACTCACTGGATAGATAGCTGGTTCTCATATCTACAGGAGCCTACAGAGCTTTAGAAAAGGGAGTTCCCTGGAGCATCTCTCTGTCTGGGGGCTTAGAGAGGAACAGCAAAAGTTCTACCAGGTGAGAAACATTTCAGCTTGCTGCTTCTGCTGATCCTTGGAAGCACTGAGCTGCAGAGGACTCTGTGCTTGTTTATCTTAGGCCAAATGACTTACTGGTCCATGGGCAAATTGGGCAGAGAGAGACAGAGAGAGAAGAGAGAGAGAGAGAGAGGGAGGAAGAGAGAGAGAGAGAGAGAGAGAGAGAGAGAGAGAGAGAGAGAGAGAGGAGCGCGCATTGGTTCACCACTACCATGCAGTATGTGTGTTCTCCCGCTACCCTAGTCTGTACTAAAATAGGAGTTGCTTGCTGGGTTGATCAAACCCACAAATGGCGACTATAGATGATTCCCCCACCACAGCGAGTTTCTCTCAAAAGGCATGAAAATAAGACAGAGACAGCAGGATGAGAAAGTACTAGAAACAGAGACATACCAACTAAAACCAGAAAAACGGTAGCAGAGAGAAGGAAAGATGGGATAGGCTCCAAGAGCAGCAATCAGATAGGAGAGCCGAGTCAAGAAAACGGTGGTCACAAGGGTGTGAGGACAGAGGCTATCCACTCAGAGGGGCGCTGAGACAGGGACAATGTAGTGATGAATGGGTTGGTTCAGGAGCTGGCTTGGTTTTGAAGGAATGTCCAGTGTGATCTAGCTTGAGGGCTTTGGCTAATAGGTACATATTGTCCCTTGTGAGTGTGTGTGTGTATGTGTGTGGGTGTGTGTGTGTGTGTGTGTGTGCGCGTGCGCGCGTCAGTTTCATTACTCAGATGTAGCGTGCATGTTGTTGCTATTATTATTTTAAATAAATTATTGCATGCCTCAGCTGCTCCAGCTATAAGATTACGCTTATGTGGATTGTGCAATTGATGTAAGCATTAAACTTAGCAGACTTCCTGGGACACGAGATGTTACATATGGTAGCTGTCATTGTTGCTATTACCATTTCACACTGCCACGATTTTACAAATCCTAGTTTATCATTTTATTTTCATGGGAACTTCCAACTCATCTTTTAAGATTCAGTTCAGCTGTAACTCCTAAATCTTTCCCTTGGCACTAGGCTTAACCAATGCCGCAGTCCTGTTCAGCAAGCATTGTGTACTACACACAAGTACAGCGTGTGAAGATATCAAGAGAATAATTCTGTCCTGCAAAAGACTAAAATACACAGTGTTAGTGATGTAAACATCCAGTCTTATTGTCTTCTAATAGAACTATGACAGGGTGGCACCTGGTTTTGTAATATTTTTTCTGAAATTATGCCTCTACTGCAACAGACATGCTGGCATTTTTTTATTATTTGCATATCTACTTCTCGTGTATCTGTATAATACTCTGTACATTGTGTGTGTGTGTGTGTATGTGTGTGTGTGTGTGTGCATTCATAGTGTCAGAAGGCTTGGGTGTTGTTCCTAAGAAGCTGTCTACCTTTCTTTTTTGAGACAGGTTCTCTCTCTGATCTGGAACTTGTCAAAGAGACGAGGTTGGCCAGTGAGCTCCAGGGTTCTCACCTGCCACTGCTGTTAGGATTACAAGCACTAACAGGCTCGACATTTTTTTTTAAATGTGGATCTTAGCTGTCTGGGGATCTCCCTGGGCGCAGATGCATCTAAACCACCTGCTTTGGGAGCTTAGGTCAGGCTTACCCTACCTTCCCCATGTCAAGCCCACACAAATAAAGAATATTTATCTAAAAAAAAAACCACAAAGAATTAAATCAGGCTTGATGTGGATCTTAGAATAGAACTTGTGTCCTCGTTCTTGCAAGATAAGTACTTTCTGGAACAATCTCCCCATCTCCCCAGCCCCAGAGATAACATTTTATTTGGTTATTACTATTTTAAAAACTTTATTCTGAAATCCCACAAAATTTTTTCCTTTACCCAAATTAAAGTTCAATTATCAGTTAATGTCACCTCTAATGTGTTGAAATTTAAATGAGGGGAAATGAGGGGAAGAAGATGGGGTTCGGGATGTTAGGTCAAAGCTGATAGGTTTTTTGTGATTTCCCAAAGGAGTCTCACTCGTTCAAGATGAAACACCGGGCCTAGGAAAGACTGAAATGTGGCAGAACACAATAGAATGGGCTTGAGGGAGCAGGTGGAGACAGAAATGGAAATGGTAGGCCTAGGAGGGGTGGACAGAGTCCCAGGAGGAACAGAGAAAGGGAAGGAGGATGGTTCGAGGAGTCTTTCTGGGTAAAGAGGAGGAGAGTTGGTGAGTGAGGAGATCAAAGAGCAGAGGCCAGATAGACAATGAGTGTGGAAGGCAAAACAGGCAGATTTTAATGCTTGGTTTATTTGAAGGTTAAGGGAAACATTGGCTTGCATAGTGAATGAGCAGGACAGGTTGAATGCAATGATAAGAGGGAAGGGGCCTATGGGAAGGTCAAAGCAGGGCCCATATCAGGCCACCTGTAAAGGAGGAAAACAGTCAATCTCCAGCTGCAGTCCTTCCTCAGTGAGTAGACTACAGAGGGGGAAGAACCCAGCCAGACACAGGAATGGGTCTAAGACAGACTTCGCTGTCACCTTCCGAGATGTTCTGCCTCACACTCCTTCCAAAAGACGGTTTGTGATTCGCATAAGCATAGCCATACGTCCCCCATTTTAATATTTTAATGTCGTTCTCTTTTGTTCTGCTTTTGACCTGGTAAAAAAAATTCTGTCGATGTCAATTTCCCATGTCACTGTTTCTTATGGCCTATGATGGTGTTTCGTGTTGATTAATGGCCAAATACAATTGCCTGAAGAGGTAACACAACATTATGCAAATGCTGAGTAACATTATTATTATTATTATTATTATTTTGCTTACCTGACTCAGAATTTGCAGCTGTACAACTTGTGTTTTTTTCTCCTTTGGCCGGTGACTTTGACTAAAGAATCAATGAAACAAAAAGTTGGTTCTTGGAGAAAATCAACAAGATCGACAAACCCCTATCCAAACTAATTAAACAACAGAGAGAGAACACACAAATAAATAAAATCAGAAATGAAAAGGGGGACATAACCACAGACACAGAGGAAATTCAGAGAATCATTAGATCTTACTATAAAAGCCTGTATGCCACAAAACTGGAAAATGCAAAAGAAATGGACATTTTTTTAGATAAGT